TCACTGAGTAGAAGACATTTTTATTTTAATTTTATGATTTTTCTATGCAAAGTTATGGACTTTTGAAGTTTACTGAATTAAATAAATCCAAAAAATCTTATTTATCTCTTAAACACGTGGCAGCCACGTCAACCTACGGTGTGTCAAAATCTCATGCAACTTTCTCTGATTTGGTGTCACCATCTGACTCAAGGCTGACACTCGGCCAGCTGTTATTGCTCCATCCGCTCTTCTGACGCCTCCTCAGCCGTTGGATCGATACACACGTGAATGGACGACATCGGTTCATCGTCCTTGATTAACCTAACCTGAGAATCGTTAGAATTCAAACACTTAGATCTTGCTTGATACTCAACCAAATCACATGGGGTTTGTTCCCACACCTTCATCCACTCAAGATGAACATATATATATGATTACAATGCTATGATTACAAGTTTCTTTCACAAAGGCCCAAACCGAGCCAAAAATTATGGTTAAGAGTTTATACCATTGCCCAAGAGAAGAGGCCTTGATTCAGTGCTTGTGGAAGTTTCAGTGGAGTTTGGCGAACCCCCTAGATGTGTCACCTTGCTCTGGTATGAGGTCTAGACAGGAGTTCGATCAAAGGGTGGTGCGGCCTTCGTCTAGGAGTGGGTTAGAAGGCTTAACAGAGCGGGATTTTATGGGGACTTTCTCTTTTTGTTTGAGGAAGTTTGCGGAAGGTTTAATTTGAAACTTTGTGGAGTTCTGTGGAATGACAGAAAATGCCCTGGTTTTGAGCTATGAAATTGAACTCATGTAGTGAGGAGGAGGGCTGGAAGATGGTTGGGTTGAGCTAAGGGAGGCTTGAAGAGGCTCTGGATTGATTTTGGCAAAGTTTCCCCAAGGAATTGTATGGTCTCTTTCTTTGGTTGTGGGAGGTGGAGTTTAAATAGAGGAGGAAAAAGAGGTCACCATGGTTGGCTAGTGGGTGCAATGAGTTGCTTAGGTAGAGGGCTGAGTGGCACAAATGACCAATTGGAATGAGTCAATACAAGGAGTTCAGATTTAAAGTTTAAGCTTGGGGTGGCTCTCAGTTTTGGTGTTTTCCAGCCAATAGGTCGGCCGACCAGGCCAAAGATGGTGATAAGGTGGCCAGGTGAGCCAGTGGGAGGGTTAATAATGATTAACTCTGAATGGTAAAGGCTTGATAGAAAATATCTTTGGGTTTAGCCAAATATGGGAAGAGATCCCTTAAATCAAGGGAACTTGGGTCCATGGCTCATGTAGGGTAAGCTAGGTGGGTCTAGCCGGGTCTCTAGGGTCCAAATTTTTGTTGTGGTGGCTATGGTTTGATCAATTTGGCTTGGTTTGGTCAACTTTGGTGCTTGGGTTCAATTTTGGGTTATTTAGCTTGAAGTTGGTCTTGGGTCAAGCTATTCATGGTCTTGAGCTCAATTGATTGATCAAAATGGTGTAAATGATTTTCATTAGGAGTTTAGAAAAAGAATTAAGTGATTTTGAACTGATTTGGAAGCTCAATTTAAAGGATTTTGGCTCATAGCTAATTTTGGTGCATTTGGGCCAACCTTAGGTTTGGATAGGGCTAGGGAGTAGGCTAGGTCTTTGGTTAGATGCAATTTATGGTTCAAATTGGTCAAAGGGATTTTCATGAAGAGTTTTGGATACCAATTGAGTGAAATTTTTTGGGTTATGAAGTTCAATTTGGTGGAGTTTGGGGCAAAATTGGGGGTTTTGGTCCAATTTGAATTTGAGTGAGATTGGGGCTTAAACAAGGCCAGTTGAAGGTTTAATTTGATGTGTGGGAGTGTTTTAAAGAGTTTAGGATTCAAAATTGGGGCAATTAGATAGATTTGGGGGTTCAATTTGGTGAGATCTTGGCTTAGGGTCAAATTGGGGATTTTAGGATTGAGATTGAAATTGAGCTTGAAATTGGGTTCAATTGGGTTTGTATTTGGTTTCAATTGGGATTGGGGATAATAAATTTGAGTTTGGAATTAAAATTTGGGAAAATTGGAACCAATTTGGTGGACATTGGGGGTGAATTAAGGAATTGGATCTTTAAGGGCAATTTGGGGCTTTTGGTCAAAATATGTCAAATTGGTTAAATTGGGCTCAATGGAGTAGTTCAAAGTGGTTTTGGGGACATTTGAAATGATTTTGAAGGTTCTGGGACGGGGTGGAGGACGGTTTGGATCACCAGTGGTAATTTTGTAATTTTGGCAAAATCAGGGATATTTTAGTAATTTTAAAAAATTTGGGGTGTTTTGGGCAATGTGGGTGGTTTCAAATGGTTTGAGATGATTTTTGAACATAGTTGGGTTTTTTGGGTAATTTTGGGAATTTTGGTCAATTTTGAGGTTTCAAAGGTAATTTGGTAAATTGGGTAGATTTGGGGCAAAAGGCTTAGTTTGGTATTTTGGTAAAATTGGAGTGTCGGTCACCCTACTTGAGCCATGGACCAATAGAATTCTCTACTTTGGGTCCTTCATGCACTGGTCTTAACTAAACCCTAGCCTAGGGCAAAGGTGTCTAGAGGACCATCTACACTTTCAATGGTAGTTTGGTAGTTTGGATAGGTTTTGGGGGTAGAAGGACAGATTGGGTATTTTAGTAGGATTGGGGTCGCTAACCACACAACCACCCTACTTGAGTCATGAACCAATAGAATTCCCTACTATGGGTCCTCCATGTACCGGTCTCAGCTAAACCCTAACCTAGGGTTAGTGGCCCAAGGGACCATCTACATGAGTTTCCCAAAAAGTTAAGGGACCAACTAAGCATATTTGACTAAAGCCTAAGGTTGTGAGTGTAAGTGGGGAATATCAGGTGTGTGTGTGTGTGTGTGAAACTGACCAAGGCCATACCACCCATGGTTCACCCTAAGGCCATACAATTCTATGGGGACTCCCTTTGAGCTCCCTCACACTGGCCCCATCTACTAAATGTTAGAGGTCAGGACCAATATATGGAACTTCAAACTGAGCAAAGAAAAGTTTAGAGTTTCTAATGGTGAAGGTTCCTTTACCAGTCCTCTAGGAATAGTCAACAGGAAAAACATATGACTATAACTTAGGCTACTAAGGAGGAAACTAGACCTCAACCAAAAGTGAGGTCAATACCGTAGCACTTTCAAAATAAGAAATTGTTCTAGATCTGCTCATTAATTTATCATATAAATTTTAAAATTCATAACAAAATTTTCAAATTTTTAATTAACATATTTTTGCATTTCCCAATATCCAAAAAATTTGACGGTGACACCCATAAATATGCGAGCTTAATAGTCAAACTTCTTTCAATATATATATATATATATATATATATACATGATTTTAGGGGTACACGAGTAGTTCTCCCACAAAATGATAATTTATTATGTAATATTTAAATTTCGTCTATCTATAGAATCAATCTTGTCCTTCTATTCATCAAATTCTCTTTTAATTATTGAACTTCAAAAGAACAACCCCAAATGCCCAATGATTTTATCGCGGCACGCCTTCATTCATTTTTTGGGATAGCATGCTAAATTTGTTAACATGGATAAATTCAATGGCTTGCATGCATTTGTTCTATATCATATTTCTATTCTATTTACAAAGTTCTTACCTTCTAAGTTAGATTCATCACAACTACCATTCTCCTAGTCTCCATTCATCAAAGTCTCTCCAATGTCAAAATTTGCATTAGAGCTTCATTTATTTGGTTTGTGTTGGATTTATAAATAAATATGCATAAATGTTTTGGTCGTAATCTTTTTTCTTTGAATAATCTCTGCCATCACGAAAATATTAAAATTTAAAAGAAGATGTTAAATCAAAATTTTCATTATTATCAAATTCCAATATTTTTATTATGGAAAGCACAAAAACACACATTTGGTTTTTAACTTTCTAGAATAAATATACTTTGTTTGTGAGTGTAGATTATTTCAATGTCAGAGGCCCAAATACCGGTTTCTCATGCGCTATGCCTCATGATGAGAGCCCGCGTCATGTGCCTGAATATTCGAGAACCCAACGCCACTAGAGATCGAACCTGTGACCAACAGGTCATCGATTTGTTATCGATTTGTTATATATATATATATATGATTAGGTTGTTTATTTCTACTTTCATTTTTTTTCTCATTTCTTATCGATTTGTTATTTAATGAATACCACTTTTTTGCTATTATTCAGCACATCAAAATTGTTTTGAAAAATTTACATACATAGCGCATAAAACATTGGATAACTTCGCTATTTACGAAACCTATTCAAAAACATATCACCCAAAGTCACTGCCCTCCAAAAACAACTACCACACAACTGCTAAGGCTGTAAATTAGGGAGCACAGTCTTGGCTCATACTCCCCTCTTTTGAAATTATTATAGTTGAAATTAGCTCATGTTCAAAATTGCTCTGTGTTCATGTCAATTCTACATATTTTTGTTCATATTTGACTCGAAATTAACATTTAAATTAATCCGAAAAACAGATATATTATATTAGATTCCAATCTGCACCATTCTTATGCAATAAAAAACCCAAAATCACATGTCGACACAAGGCCTAGTAATTTAATCTTAGAAATAAATATATCTAATAAATTATTATATAAATAATAGATATTAATTTCATATTTTGACTCATTTATAATTCAAATAAAATATTTATTCATATTCAGCCTATGAGTTGAACGCAAGCTGTTCATGACTAACAAGCAATTTTTGGCAGCCCCACCTGATTCTCCCAATGCTCTGGCCCGCACAACCCTCCTGGTAGCCCTCCTCTCCGTAATGCACGTGTGTGCTTTCGACTGTCGTGACCTCGAGCTAGCAGAAACCCCGAACCTCATGCGACACCTGTGATTGGTTTAAGATATTTTAACTCATTTTTTTTTTATTTTATACTGTCATTTTTGTCATTTTATTTAAATTAACTCATTTTTTTTTTATTTTATACTGTCATTTTCAAGTGCTATATCTATAGCAAAGTGTAGTAAAAACATATAAAATCCATTGTTTCGTATGGTTCAACGGCCAATTTGATTCAGGCATATCGCTTCATCCTCATTATATTCAATGTAGCAAACAAACCAATGTTATTCAATACCTTTCAAGGCTCTACAGAATTGCATTCTTCAAAAACAGGCAACATCAGATGAATCCCAACAAATTCAAACCCCAAAACTAATCAATTTCCGGTTATCACATTCTGCAGACTAACTCCACCAGTCTCCGGAGGTTCTCCGAGAATCTCCCACCAGGCAACAAAGCTTTCTCCGTCCTCTCCCTTATCTCCACCACCCTCTTTCTCATCCTTTTCCCTTCTTCTCCTTTCAAAACTGCTTCCATAGCCTTAACAAAAGCCCCTCTTGTGATACCAGAACCAAGACTTGTTCCTACTCCCAACATCGACTCAACCGCCCTGGCTACCATATTCTGGTCGGCGTGTATGGGCCTGCCAACCGTCACCATGTCAGCCATTATGCTCTCGAGTATCGAATTCCACCCAAAATGTGTTACAAACACACCCACAGATGAGTGATTCAACACAGACAGTTGTGGCGCCCAATTCACCATATTCCCCCTCTGTCGTGTTCGCTCCACAAACCCCTCAGGAAGGCTCGAGCGAAACTCCTCCTTGAGAGACCATAAGAAGGGCGCACCACTGTCTTCAAGCCCATGAGCCAACTCAGCCAACTCAGTGAGTGGCAGAGTACTGAAAGAGCCGAAGGCAATGTAGACAACGGAAGAGGGTTCATGAGAGTCCAGCCATGGAAGGCAGTCTTCTTTGTCAGGAGTGGAGGGTGGTATAGAGAGGAGGTTGAGAGGACCGACGGAGAAGGTTAGGTTAAGAGTGGTGTGAGAAGTTAGGCTGGGTTCAAGGGCAGCAAAATTGGAGAGGACGATGGCGGCAGCACGGGGGAGGCGATGAACCATGCTATAGAGGTTGACTGCGAATTTAGAGTTCATGTCGCCGAAAATGATGCCTTCAGGGAGGTCACGAACACGCATGGCGGCAAGACCGGGGATGAAGTCGAGGAGTGTGTCCGTATTAAAAGGGATGACTGCAGTCAGATTAGAATTTTCTTGTTAACAAATTAATAAAATTAGCATGCAAAACTATGCCAGAAAGCTAAGAGTGTATAATGCTATATACACAGACATAACATGAGGAAATTACATTTGGAGATGGAGATAGTAACACAGTGGGTAGGTGAATTGGTTTACTATTTGTTTTCCTGCAGAATGAAACAATATCAATGCTTACAAGGGGCAGGGTTGGTAAGCTTTAAATGTTAGATAAACGAAATAGCTGTTAGTAAACATATAAAAGAGATAAGATTCTAAGTATCAAAAATCCCTAAAAGATGATTGCTTAAAAAGCTACAAAACTATGGAAATTTCACAGCGCCTGAAACAATAGCAAAATAAAATTAGACTGCTTAACAAAGTTGTGTGTGACTAATATATTTGGGGACTGAAGTGAATAGCTCAAATTAATGCTGATTTCTAATTACAAGTAATCTATTGATTAAAATTTGCATTTATAATCATGTTATATAGCATATTTTCTATGATAAATAAAGAAATGAAACCTAATAAATGTGCATAAATCAATGGTGATCACGAATGCATGAAAAAAAAAAAAGATTTGGTTTCCAAGACAAAGCATCTAACATCAGACATGATTTTCAAAATATGCACAAAGTTATCACATTTCTTGTGATGAAATTCAAAAGAAATAATTGCTCCAAAAAACATACTCTATTCATTCATGACATAGGCTTTTATAGAGCATTACAATGTTTCACAAGCAAACAGATAAGCATCTAGATAAAAATCGCAAGATGGGCACAAAATATACATTAAGCCCATCTTGTCACATAACCTAGACAAATCTAATGAGCTAAGTCCTTTTGTGAGGTTGTCAACCACTTGCTCCCTAGTGGCTACATGAGTCAGCTTCAGTAGTCCGTTATTCAACTTTTCCTTGATGAAGAACCTGTAAATCTTCACATGTTTGATTCTATCGTGTTGCATCGAGTTGTTAGCAATGTTGATTCCTTACTTGTTGCTACACCACAACCTCATTTGAGCTCCTTGATCCACCTTGAGCTCTACCAACAAGGCTAGCAGCAACATCATCTCAGCAAATCCTAAGGCCATGGCCCTTGACTATGACTCTATTGTTGACCTCGCTACTACTGACTGTTCTTGCTCTTCCAAGAGACCAAGTTGTCTCTTACGAACATGAAGTATCCTGATGTGGACCTCCTGTCATTTGAAAAACTTGCCCGATCAGAGTCACAAAAGCAATCAATGATTACATGTTCATTCTTCCCAAAGATCAACCCCTTGCTTGGTACTCTTCAAGTACCTTAGAACTTAGTACACTGCGTCCATATGGCCCTTCCTTGGATCATGCTTATAGTAGCTTGCCCCGCTCACTGCAAATGAAATGTTGAGATAAGTGTGACTCAGATAGATAAGATGACCCACTAATCTCAAGTATCTAATAGGATGAATTGCTCTCATGCCTCTGTACTCAGTTTGACCTTCTGATCAATTACAGAGAATACAGGCTTGCATCCCAACATGCGTGTTTCTGTGAGGAAATCCAGTACATACTTACTCTAAAACAAATCCCCTCCGGTCCATGGGTCACTTCAATTCCAAGAAAGTAATTGAATTGCCCAAGGTCCTTCACAACAAATTCTTTGCACAATCATACACTTAGTTGAGCGATCTCTGCCCATCATAGTTTTTAAAGACATAAAGTGACTTTTTGAACCTGCACACCTTACCCACCATCTGGTTTGTACCGAATTTTGGTGGTATCCTGATGTACACCTTTCTAGTAACACACCATGAAGAAGTGCATTCTTCACATTAATTTAGTGTAACCTCCCACCAATTACTATCAGAGAGACCAGTGTTCACATTGTGCTCATCTTCGCTATTGGTGCAAAGATTTTGTCATATTTAATGTCAAATGTCTGTGTTGACGTCAATTTTTAGATGTCACACACTTGGGTCGTTCGTTTGAGCCTATGAGACTTTACTCTACTCTTATATGGTGCCACATAGCTCGTAAACATTCACTGGAGCCTCCCCTAACTCACTAGGGTGGAATTATGCTCGAGCACACTTGCAATCAGGTCCTGGCGCACCCGTGCAAGGCTAGTCTTTGTCTAGTGTACCCGTGCCAGACTTGCAATGCGCCTACATTAACAATCTAAGCAGGCAGGGAACCTGCACATGATTTCTGGTGCGCTTGCGCCCATGAGGCTAACTAACACTGAAAACCCGATGCATCCGCGCCAAACCGACATAAAGTGCCCGCATTTACTTTCAGGTGCGCCTGTGTTTATTTTCGGGGGAGCCCGCGCTCATTTTAGAGTGCACCCATTGTAGGCCACTTGGGTCAGGCGCACCCGTGCCAGACCAAAATCAGTTGCAGTTTTGGTTTAACCCCCTTGGCTGAACCAAGCCCCTTGGGGGCTAGTTTGGTCATTTAGTGGTATGGAGAGTACTCTAGATGCTGCCACCTCAAAAGGAGCCCCCCCCCCCCCCCTTTTACATGGTCCATGGACCATTTTTGGTAAGGGACCAATAGAAAAATGAGGAGGCAGCAACCATTTTTGGAGGAAGAGATCATTTGAAGAGAGTGGAGCTGCCTTGGGGAGGGAGATTTCAATTTCTTGGTCTTGAGGAGAACCCTTGAGAGCTTTGAGAGAGGAGAGCCCTTAGCGAGCTTTCCTTCTTCCACATTTTTTTCTCCTTTTTCTCCTTCATTTTCTTTTGAGGAGAAGTTTGGAGAGTTTCCATGGAGAGGTTTCAGAAGAAAAAAAAAAAGGATTTTCTTCTTCCACAACTTCATCTTCTTCTCCTATATTTTCTTCTTATCTACAATTTTTGGAGAGTGTGAGTGGTTTCCTTGTAGGATCTTGGGCTCCATTGGAAAAGGAGAGCTTCATCATCACTATAGCGTGGGAGGAGCAAGGAGCCATCGAGGTGGTGAAAGCTCTCCAAATCCATTGTTCTTCCTTTTCTAGCAAGCCTCTTTAGATTTTTGTGTTATAGGTATAGATCAAAGCTGATGTTAGAGAAAGCCCCTTTGAGGTTAAAGAGCTTTTTGTTGTGTCCCTAAGATCCTTGAGTGATTCCCTCAACTTTAACCCAAAAATTCTAGATATACGAGATTGTATTAAATCCCGTGTTTGCGTCGGTGATTCTATTCCTTTGATGGGAAGAAGGTAATCCATTTAAGCCTTGAGAACAGAGATCCTTGCAATATTTACATTTAGGCAACGATGTTTTCCTCACAAAAAAAACCTTTGTGTGTGACGATCTGTTGGTGGTACACCTCGCCATCACCGAGCCTATTTCCTTGTAAAATCATTAGGACAAGTTTGATTTGCTATCAGCGCAACCGGGATCATTTTTACATGTATGCATTTTCATTCATGTGCACTTCATGTGTGGCGCATAGCATATGATGCTTTAAAATGGTGCATGAAATCCATATTTTTGATATGATTGCAATCGAAATCAAAAATGTGGGAGGAGCAAGGAGCCATCGAGATGGTGAAAGCTCTCTAAATCCATTGTTCTTCCTTTCTAGCAAGCCTCTTTAGATTTTTGTGTTATAGGTATAGATCAAAGCTGATGTTAGAGAAAGCCCCTTTGAGGTATAAGAGCTTTTTGTTGTGTCCCTAAGATCCTTGAGTGATTCCCTCAACTTTAACCCAAAAATTCTAGATATACGAGATTGTATTAAATCCCGTGTTTGCGTCGGTGATTCTATTCCTTTGATGGGAAGAAGGTAATCCATTTAAGCCTTGAGAACAGAGATCCTTGCAATATTTACATTTAGGCAACGATGTTTTCCTCACAAAAAAAACCTTTGTGTGTGACGATCTGTTGGTGGTACACCTCGCCATCACCGAGCCTATTTCCTTGTAAAATCATTAGGACAAGTTTGATTTGCTATCAAAGCAACCGGGATCATTTTTACATGTAAGCATTTTCATTCATGTGCACTTCATGTGTGGCGCATAGCATATGATGCTTTAAATAGCATATGATGCTTTAAAATGGTGCATGAAACCCATATTTTTGATATGATTGCAATCGAAATCAAAAATGTGGGAGGAGCAAGGAGCCATCGAGATGGTGAAAGCTCTCTAAATCCATTGTTCTTCCTTTCTAGCAAGCCTCTTTAGATTTTTGTGTTATAGGTATAGATCAAAGCTGATGTTAGAGAAAGCCCCTTTGAGGTATAAGAGCTTTTTGTTGTGTCCCTAAGATCCTTGAGTGATTCCCTCAACTTTAACCCAAAAATTCTAGATATACGAGATTGTATTAAATCCCGTGTTTGCGTCGGTGATTCTATTCCTTTGATGGGAAGAAGGTAATCCATTTAAGCCTTGAGAACAGAGATCCTTGCAATATTTACATTTAGGCAACGATGTTTTCCTCACAAAAAAAACCTTTGTGTGTGACGATCTGTTGGTGGTACACCTCGCCATCACCGAGCCTATTTCCTTGTAAAATCATTAGGACAAGTTTGATTTGCTATCAAAGCAACCGGGATCATTTTTACATGTAAGCATTTTCATTCATGTGCACTTCATGTGTGGCGCATAGCATATGATGCTTTAAAACGGTGCATGAAATCCATATTTTTGATATGATTGCAATTGAAATCTAAAAATGCATGAAAATATATTGGGCTTAATGCCCATTTCTTTGATCATGAATATATGTTTGGCTTGATGCTTAATTTTGTAAAGTCATTGTATGTAAAATTTCATTTTGTCGTATGTGCACTTCTAGCACTTGGCATGTATTTGTGGTGTCTCTCTGAGCAGCTACGCCTGCGGTAACTTCATGAACATACATCGTCATATGCGTATATTCGCATGACTTATGAGGGGGTGGCCGACTTATAAGGCCTACCCGGTGCGCAATTCTCCTTAAAAAGATATATGTCCTACTCGGTGCGCAATTCTCCTTAAAGAGAATAAGAGTATCTCATTTCCTATGGCACCACCTAGGAACG